TTAAGCTATTCCTATTTGTTCAACAAATTAATCACAATGCCTACAAGTGGATTTGTACGCCAAACTCCACAACATTCCACGTAGGGGAAGTGCTGCCAATTGGGCAGGTTCCACTGCGGTCGAAGGAGACTGGATGCTTAAAACTTTATTTTGGGGCTAAAAGAGAGAGCTGATGCAAAAGAGCTTTGAGTATTTTATTGATAGCATTCTTCTTTTTATACACAGAGAAGAGAATGAGATCCCATGAAAATAGACCAATACAAAAGGAAAATATACAAAGTGAATCAAAACGAATATTCTTGTGTCTGAGAATAACAAAACAAATATTCTTGTGATTGAGAATATCACAATCAATCTTCAGTTTTCTTATTATGCCCCCGCAAGTTAGGAGTTGGTGAAGCTACTCCTAACTTGATCAGATTGCGCCAAAAATGTGCTTTTGGCAGAGGCTTGGTAAGCACATCTGCCAGTTGATCTGCCGAGTGAACATGTATTACTTGAATCTTCTCTTGTTGAACTTGATCGCGGACAAAGTGAAAATCAATGGCTATGTGCTTCATTCGACTATGAAAGACTGGATTTTTGGCATAAGTAGTGCCCACATTATCACAGTAAACTGTTGGTGTGCGAGATAGAGCAATATGAAATTCAGAAAGGAGATTCATTATCCAATTTGTCTCTGCGACAGCTCCAGCCACAACACGATATTCTGCTTCAGTGGAAGATCTGACACAGTCCTTTGCTTTTTGGACGACCAACTGATGGGATTTGAGCCAAAATAAATAACATAAGCAGAGGTAGAAGATCGATCATTCAAATCACCCGCCCAATCCGCATCAGAATGAATGTGTAAGGTTTTTTCTGATTGACGACGAAGGAGAAGACCATAGTTGATTGTTTGCTTAAAGTAACGAAGACACTTGACAGCTTGCTAGTGTATCACTGTAGGCTTCTGCATAAACTGCGATAGCTTGTTGACGGCAAAACTAATATCAGGCCGCGTAAAAGCAAGATATTGGAGTTTGCCGATGGCACTTCGATATTGTTTGGTGTCAGTAAGTGCAGAACCATCCTCAAGTTGTAGTGGTGTGGAGGTGCTTGACGAGCTAAAAATACAACACAAAATTATGCTCGCTAGTCGAATATCGTATAGAAAATATCGTATCCACATCGATTGAATTTAAACAGTATTTTCGTAGCTTCTAGTTTTAATTGCTATCCAAGATGATCAACAATTTAGATTTGTATGAATTAAAACTAACATTAACTAAAAGTCTAACTATTGGCTAATGACAATTGCAACAAGAGTAAGCAAGAAGATATCAATGGGAGAAAATATGGGTTGATTGGATAGGTGTAAGATACTTGTTTGAGAATTAACTCTAGTTACTTCACTTCTATGGTTCAAGTGAATCTCTCGAATTCACTCTATTATGTTCAAACATTCAGTAGAAACTCCTCTCTCGATTAAGTCTCAACCTTACGATATGAACTAAGTTAAACTTGGTGAAGATATGCAAGAATTCGTAGTGGATTGATCCTTAGGAGAACCTCTTTCGATTATCCTCCTAACTAGGTCTAAACATTAATTCAACTAGCCTCTTTCGATTACTAAGAAGAATCAACGAATTCAACCAACAAGATAATATAAAACATCACAAATTATGCCTCTTTCGATTATATAAACAAGTGAATATATATGCAATAATAAAAATACCCAAAATACTTCAATATATAAAACTAGAGTTAATATCCACAAACAATTCTCAAAATACCAAATCCATCAATCCCTAAGGAAGAATTACTCCATGAATATGGAGAAATTCATCACAATTAAGTTTAAGTCAAAGAAAAACATAAAACATCCAAACCCTTGTCTTGAGTGAGGATGAATGGTGAAATCCTTGTGCTCTTGCTTCTCCCTCTTCTCCTTAGCTTCCTTAGGTCTAAATTAAGTCAAAAATCCTCAAAATACAATTTTTCTATGTATATATACCAAGTAAGGTCGAGCCCAAATAAATACACCTTCTCCTACGCAAAAAAAGGATACTTTTTCGGAGTTGGACGTGCGCGGCCGCGCACCTGGAAGGGTGCCCGCACACTTGGCCGCGCACTTTTCATACTTTCTGCAACATATGCGCGGTCAGTGCGTGGTTGCTCTTTTGCCGCGCACTTTTCACCCTATTCTGTTGGAAATTTGAAATAACGTAAAACATAAAAATTGTAGCCCTTTGAATTATCTTCCCAACAATATATTATGGAGCCCAAATAGAGTTCTGAGTGAAAGGTTATGTGTATTTAACTAGACAGTGCACAATATGCCTGCTCGATTCTTCGTTTTGTTGCACTATCATCCGTTGATCTTCGAACACGATCCCGGCTTAATTCCTTGGGCTTTTACTCAGAATTTAAAACTCCAAATTATTTGAATTCATTTCATAATATCTACATAGCTCAAAATTACTCTTACAAGGCATAAAATATACCATTAGTGCAAAACACTGGTGATTAAAGCTCAAACTCAACTAAAGTGCAGTAAATTGGAATGTAATAATCGACTAAAATATGATATTATAGCCTACCATCAGTGCTAAGAGGCGTGGAGACTCCATTGCAATCATCCATATCGAATTCTTTGAGAACCTCAAGTATGTACTTTGATTGAGAAAGAAAAAGGTCATCAGCCAGAGGAAGTACTTTAACACAAAGGAAGAAGTTGAGTGGACCCAAATCCTTTAGTGAGAATCGAGCAGTAAGGGCATCCATCAAACTTTGAAGTGTTTGAGTATTATTCCTTATTATCACAATATCATCGACATACACAAGATGAAACAGAGTGATATCTAAGTTTTTATAAATAAAGAGAGAATTATCAGAATAAGCTTTGGTAAAACCTGATTAAACTAAGAAATTTCTTAGTTCGTTGTACCATGTCCGGGGAGCTTGTTTGAGCCCATAAATGGCCTTTCGCAGGCGGCACACATGATTTGAATAGTCATGATGCTCGAAGCCCTTTGGTTGTTGCATGAAAACTTCTTCATCAATACGTCCTTGTAAAAAGACATTATTGACATCAAGATGGTGGAGCGGCCAGCCATGCATTGTTGCAATGAACAAAACAACTCTAACGGTTGTTGGTTTGACGACCGGGCTAAAGGTGGAATCAAAGTCAATTCCTAGACATTGTGTGAAGCCTTTGGCGACTAATCTAGCTTTATATCGATCAAGACTCTCATCTGCTTTATGTTTGACATGGAAAATCCATTTGTTACCTATAATATTCTGATTTTGCATTGGTGGAACAAGGTCCCAAGTGTGAATTTTGAGTAATGCAGAAAATTCTTTTTGCATAGCTGCACGCCAGTGGGGGTCCTTAACTGTATGTGAGACTGAACTAGGAGTAATAATTTCATTAGAAATAGTAGCCATGTAGTCAATAAAATTTTTTGGTTTGAAAATATTATTTTGTGATCGAGTAGTTATACGTGGGGGATTAGGTTGGTGCAAATTTTCCTGTGTGGAAGTACTATTATTTAAGGGAGAGTTATCAGATGATGAATATAAAGCAGAAGATATCAATGGCGAAGAAGAAGTTGAAGGATATTACTTACCTGGTTTGAAGATGTACTTGGCGACTGTGAGGGTGTATCGATTGCGGCCTGAGTAAGAGGACCTATTGTAGTGTTCAATTTAGATTTGTTGCTGGAGTTTTGAAGTAAAAAAATAAAAGGAGAATCACTAGAGATATATGATTGGAAAGATTTGTTTGAGATATCAGTAGAACATACTTCGTGCCACAAAATAGGAGGGGATTACAAATTTAAACTGGAAGATTTGAGATGAGCGAAAATTGTTTTGAAGGGAAAAACTTCTTCAATAAATCTTACATTACGAGAGATATAGACTTTTGACAAAATAGGATCGTAACATTGATGACTATAATAGAGATTAGAAAAATCCAAATAAACACATGGTACTAATTTTGGCTCTAATTTATTTTTGGCATATGGTTTAAGCCAAGGATAGCAAAGACATCCAAAAGGGCAAAGTAAATCAAAGTTAGGATCTTTGCTAAAAAGTATTTGATATGGGAATTTGCGTTAGTAGTTGGTAAGGAAAAATGATTTATGAGGTAGACAGCTGCATGACATGCAAAGGACCATAAATTTTGGGGCAGAGAAGCTTGATGTAATAAAGTTCTAGGCGTTTCTAATATATGACGGTGTTTCCATTCAGCTAAGGCAACACGTTGAGGGGTGTAAGGTGGCGATAATAATTGTTGTATTCCTTTAAAAGCTGGAGAAGATTTTAAACCAAGGTATTCTCCAGCACCATCAGAGTAAATAGTCAGGATTTTTGTATTAAAATGATTTTCTACTAAAGGCTTGAAATCAGTAAAAATCTTTGCTACATCATTTTTGTGTTTTATGGTGCATGTATAACCATATATATATTTGGAAAAATGATCGACAAAAATGACATAATAAGAGTTTTGATCGATAGATCGAACGGGGGAAGGGCCCCATACATCAGAGTATAGAAGTTCAAATTGTTTAGTACTGCTTAATGAATTTGTTGAAAAAGGAGATCTACGGCTTTTATTGCAATAACAAGAATTACAAAATGTAAATTTTTCTGAATCGAAAAAAGGAAGATGATGACTACGTAATATGTAATTCAAAAGACGAAGATTGGAATATCCTAATCTACGATGCCATAGAGAGAGAGAAGGTCTTGTGGTGGTGGCCGAGTATGCAAAGGTTGATGATGTGCGCGAGAAATCTGAAGTGCCACTCATAAAGATCCTTCCTATTCTGGCCACGAACCAACGGTGCCCCCGTATTCAGTGCCTTGATAACAAAATAAGATGGAAAAAATTCAATAGAGGTCTTATTTTGAGAACAAAATTTAGAAACTGAAATAAGATTCCGTTTAATAGAAGGAGCACATAAAATATTTTACAGAGGAAAAGATCGAGAAGGAGTAAATAGAGAGGAAGTTCATGTGTGAGTAATTGGAATTGCATTACCATTACCCATTGAAATCTCTGCCGGTCCAGTATAATCTTGTGCAGTAGCCAAGTTTTGAGGGATGTCAATGATATAGTGAGATGCTCCTGTGTCTAGAATCCATGGTGCTTGGCTTGAGTTTGATGTGGAAGCAAATAAAGCTTTTGCTTCAAAGTCGTTATGAGACTTTGAGCGACAAATATAGGCTGCATGACCAAATCGTCCACATAGTTGGCATTGAATAGGCGACTTATTATAGAATGGGGATGAGGGACGCCATTGCTAAAAATATCCATTGTTGCTCATATTTTTGTTGGGCTGTAAGTTTACAGATTGTGGGTTATGTGCACGACATTGTGGTTGTCCGTTCCATGGTTGTGGTCCATTCCAACGCCGATTGCTTTTGATATTGTTTGAACTAATATTTTGTTGTGCTATTTGAGCAGTAATGGAGTTGGTCTGCTTCTTCTTTTGTTCTTCATGTTGTAAGAAGATTTCATGATCTGAAAGTTTCTCAAATAGTTCTTCATAAGAGATGGGGGTATCACGTGTTCGAATAGCAACACTGAATTGACTGTATTCTGGTCTAAGACCATTCAAAATCTTGATTACTAACTCTTCATGAGTAACAGTTGATCCAGCAACGACAAGTTCATCAGCGAGAGATCTAATTTCTCGAAGATATTCTACGACAGATTTGTTATCTTTCGAAACCTTAGCAAGAAGATCCCGAAGACTGTAGATTCTGGTTTGAGACTTATTTGCAAATGTGGTATGCAAATGGTCCAAAGCCTCTTTAGCATTAGATACAGAAGCAACAGAAGGAGCAATTGTTGGGTCGACCGATGCCATCAATGCATTGCATATCAAACTATCCTGTTAGAACCATACTTTATATTCTGGAGTAATAACATCAATATCGCCTTGTTTGATGATTTTGGGAGGCCAAATAGTGGAACCACCAAGGTAAGAAACAAGGTCAAATCCACATATCAGTTTGAAGAATTGAGCTTTATAAGTTGCAAAGTTGTTACTGCCTGTGAGCTTTATTGGCAGTTGCGATACCGGATTCTAGCAGAGGGTATATCAAGATAAGTGGCATGTGAATGTTCTTCTAAAACAGATGGGTTTTATTGGTTGGATTTGGTTGCAGAGGATTCATATGGAGAGTTAGATAAAGAGTTGCCTGCCATTGGTTAAAAAAAATGGAGAGAAGTGATCAGATTGCTCGTTTGAGTGTTTAATGCTCTGATACCATAAAAGAGAGAGGTGATGCAACAAAGCTTTGAGTATTTTATTGATAGCATTCTTTTTTTTAAACACAGAGAAGAGAATGAGATCCCATGAAAATAGACCAATACAAAAGGAAAATATACAAAGTGAATCAAAACGAATATTCTTGTGTCTGAGAATATCAAAACAAATATTCTTGTGATTAAGAATATCACAATCAATCTTCAGTTTTCTTATTAGGGGTAAATTGACAATCTTCTTGAGTTGAGTGTAATAATGTTAAATCACAAATGATATGCTACTATATGGCAATCTTGTTGAAATAATTTGAAATCATATGTTGCTGCAACCAAATCAATCCAATCATTTTATCAATAGCTTTCAAAACTATGTTCATTCATTTCATTTTTTCCTCAATTTGCTTCGTTAATTTGATAAATCAAATTCTGAATTCCTGTAGATTAGTTCCCATATTTGTCTTATAGATTAGTAGATCTGCATATTAATTCAAAAACTTTTGTTAAACTATTAAAGAAAAGAAGAAAGAAAAANGGATTAAAAATCACTCGCTTAGTTTAAGTGTTCAAACATATTTTCTGGACAAGTTTAATGGGTCTTTATGTATTTTATCTATAATTAACTTCCTTGCATTTTAGGAAGCTATAAGAATAAATATCAAATACAATATATATAAAAATTTACGAAAGAAATTTAGGGCCACTTTTAAGTTTTGGCTTTAGGCCACATATTAAATTGAGCTGCCACTCCTACTAAGATTAAATTTTCATAGGCATGTGTATTTAAAAATAGAGTTTTAGGTTTTTTTTATTTTTTGTTTTATGGGTGGAACTTTATTATGCCAAGAGAAACATGGCCCCACGCAAAAGTTGACTACCTTTCCATTAGCCATTTCCTCAGCCATCCGAGAGGTATTTAATTTCTGTGGGTCGTGACGTCCAAGCACATTAATTCATACAATGTTGTATGAATTAATCTTAATTAGAATTTTCTACTTGTTTCAACTCAGTTACAAAAGTTTCAACTTTCAATCTTTTATATGATTGTCAGAATATTATTTCAATAAGATGGAAAAAAATTGAAAGCCCTATTATACGTAGAAATTTCATCATATATTAAGATTTTATAATATTATATTCTATGTCTACGAACGCACATAATAAACTTTAAAGTAAATAAATAAAAAGGGTTACACCATGCATTTATCTTCTTCAATTCACAGGTATGAATTTAAGTTGGGATAAGTAATCTAAAGATTTTGGGTCATCAATTCCACTTGAACCCTAGACAAAGTAAAATATATGAATATAGTCATATGTCAAATTGCAGTAGATGCCATATTTTAACAGCTGATTGGACATTCCAGATAAACCCACTAAACCCCTATTTGCCACATCCACAAGCATTCTACCTCAATAATTAATTATCCTAAGAGTCGTTTCATACATTTTTTAACCTTTCAAGATTCTGAAGAGCTTTGTGTTGAAATTCTTCATAAAGACAATATCTTTCATATGATCCCAAAGGATTCACTTCAGCTCCATATATACGAGATTAGCACTAATTCTCGTGTAGTTTAATTTTTCTTATTTATAGTGTAAGGATAATATATTCTAGCTCTAGCTAGTTCCTCCTCCATAAATAAAGTTACACCACTTTAATTTCCTTCCAGTACTGCACAAAGTGAAGCATATTTCCAACTATAAATACCCCCATTAACTAAGTGCTTCCCATCACCAAAACAAACCATCTCTCAAAGAAAATAAGACAACCCTATCAAAGAAAAACCGTATTTTTTTCAATGGATAATACTCAAAATTGTTCATCTATTAGTTGTGAAATACAAATCATAAGAGGAAGAAACATAGAGCAAAGCTTTTTAGGAAAAAGCAACCTGTTTGTTAGATGCTATCTTCCAGCAGGAAACAACCAAAGAATTCAGCTAAACAGTCAAGAAATCTCATCATCAAAATCCGACAACTTGTTTTGGGATGAATCTTTCTCATTGGATTGCATGGGAACTCAAGAATCCATTAATATGCTGAAGCAAGGCACGGTTATCTTCGAGCTCCGGTCAAGAAAATATCTGCCAGTTTTTGGGAAAAATATTGGTGGATCACAAGTGTTGGGGAGGGCTGAAATTCCATGGAAAAGAGTGTTTGAGTCAACAGAAATGGAGATTGAGGAATGGGCAATCATGGCCACTTCTAAAAATAATGAAAATGTGAAACCTCCAGCGGTTAAAATAGTAATGAAGGTTAATGTAAAAGATCAGGCAAATAAAGTCAAGAAAAATGATAGATTGAGAAGATCATGGGATGAGTCGTGTACATGTAAAGGTTACTGTGGGTGCAATGGTTGTAGTATTTTCAGTGCTGATGATTATGAAATCTTTTCACTTGGAGTTGCCCTAGATGCCTTTTAATTTAAGGCCAGAAATGGGCGAAGCACTGCTACTCAATTGGATTGATTTTTTTAGTGACTTAGACTAATTAATTCTTGCATTAACTATGTCATTGTACGTTTTTAGTGTTAAGAAATTTCATTGCTTTGATAGAATACAAGGCTTTTATCTTTTCATAGAAATTGTTCTTTCTTGTTTAACTTCAGTTCCCTTAAAGTGAATCTTGACTTCTTCTTTTTTCAGTATCAGCAACACAATGAAATGATAATTAATTGACATACCATATTACAATTTATAATTAATTATATATAAATCAAGATCTACACCAAATGACCAAGTTAATTATTCACGAAAGTAAAATCTTTATATATGCACATTAAATTTTCAAGAATCAATGCTGTTTTTCAGGGTAATCGAACCAAAGGCCTCAAGGGTCGAGCATAAATGTTTCTGTTGGTTCTCTTTAAAATGGGAGCCAACTCAACAGAAAAATAATGTTTCTTCGAGGGGATATTGAGGGTAATAGCCAAAAGGAGAAGTATAGGAAACTAAATTTGCAAGTATTCTTTAAACAAACAAAAAGAAAACAAACCACTAATTAACTTAGAATACAGAGGTGAATTAAAAGATTGTTGTGGTGCTTACACTTTATATTTGTTGTTTATACTGCTACTTGACTGTCCTTTTAAACTTGCTATTACTAGTGTTATATATCAAAAGAACGTAAGGGTATCGCTATTTTGGAAATTCAGTTGAATGCGTTAACCTTAGATTAATCTAGTGTAAATAAATGTATCTTTTTTCACTTTGTACTTTACTTTATGGCTGTCAATTGTCATTAACTTTCTTTGTTGAGTGCAGAAGGTCAAATTGCTACACTTCCTATTTATTCGGTATTTGAAATCGACTGGCCCGACTAGATAGGATACGAGTCGATATTGATAAGTCAACTCGTTAGTGTTCCCTATCAAGAAGTTCACAATTTCTAGGGCTCAAACATGATACTTCTAGTTCAAGGGAAGAAATCCAAATCATGTTATCACATCCCTTGATGATCATAATTAGCTTTTGTCAATTCATAATACTCCCGTCTCTAATAAAATGAGTGTTAAACAAATAATAATAATTACAACTTGGCTTGACCCTCCTTTTTCATAACTGTGATGACCCAAAATGTCATTTTTAAATTTAATAATTAATTGTGTTCTAAGACCTCAAAAAATACTATTTATCATTCCTCGACTTGCGTGTATAGTCCGTAAAATTTTCCGGAAAGTTTTCAGGTGAAAAATGGATTAAAATGTGAATTAGTGCTTTAAAACTCAACTAAGTTGACTTTGGTCAACATTTTGAGCAAACGGACTCAGATCAATATTTTGACAGTTCCGGTAGGCCCGTATCGTGATTTGGGATTTAGGCGTATACTCGGAATCAAATTCCGAGGTCCCTAGCCCGAGATATGGAATTTTGATAAAAAAATTAAAAGTTTAATTTCAAATAGTGTGCGAATGTCAAATTATGTGCAAACGACTCCGGAATATAATTTTGATGATTCCAACAGCTCTGTATGATTTTTTGGACTTAGGAGCGTAATTAAAATTTTATTTGAAAGTCTGTAGTGGAATTAGGCTTGAAATGCCAAACGTTGAATTTTTTGGAAATTTGACCGGGGGTTGACTTTTTGATATCGAGGTCGGAATCCGATTCTGGAAATTGGAATAGGTCTGTTATGTCAATTATGACTTGTGTGCAAAATTTGAAGTCATTCCGAATTGATTTGATGTGTTTCAGCACAAGATATAGAATTTGAAAGTTCAAAGTTCATAGATTTTGATTTGAGGTGCGATTCGTCGTTTTGATATTGTTTGATGTGGTTTGAAGTCTTGATTAAGTTCGTATTGTATTTTGGGAGGTGTTGGAATAATTGGTTAAGGTCCCGAGGGTCTCGGGTGGATTTCGGAAGGTAAACGGAATGGATTTCGAACAAAGAGGGTTGCTGCAGAAATTTCGCCAGAAATTTCTGGTGCGTGGAGCCACCTTTGGAAACTTATATCTCGCAATTCATAAGGAATCGGAAACTTTTCAAAACATAAAAGTTGTAGTTGTTTGATTCTTGTTTACAGAAAGTTACACCATTCATTATTTGGACATTTGTACTGAAAGTTATGATAGATTGAATGAAAGCTGGTAGAGCAGTTTCGCCAGAAATTTCGCTGTGTGGAGCCGATTTTGGAAGCTTATATCTCGCAATTCATAAGGAATCGAAAAACTTTTAAAACATCAAAGTTATAGTCGGTTGATTCTAGTTTTCAGAAAGTTAAACCATTTATCATTTAGATATTTGTACATAAAGTTATGATCGATTGAAGGAAGGCTGGTACAAGCAAGTTCTGGTGGATTTTTAGTGACGGAAAATGGACTTTTAGTGACGGATGGACAGAAACTTAAGGACCAAAAATGGTCATTTCCTTTTTTTCGTTTTGGATTTTTGGAGCACGGTTCTTGGGCGATTTGCACGGAAAAATATTGGGTAAGTGTTCCTTATCCTATATTGATTATATTTCATGATTCCATACCCATTTACATCATGAATCCGTGAATTTATAGAAGAAAAATCAAGATTTTTGCAAAATCTTTCAGAAACAAAAATTTAAGATTTGGAGGTCGAGTTATTGTCGGAATTTGGTAAAATTGGTATGGGTGGACTCGTAATTGAATGGGTTGTCGAATTTTATAAGTTTTACCGGATTTCGAGATGTGGTCCCCACAGGCAAATTTTGAGCTAATTTCGGATTTTATTGAAAAATATAATATTTTCTTATGATTTTTATTACTATAATTTTTGTTGACTTTATCGAATTAATTATGACTAGATACGAGTCGATCAGAGTCAGAAAATCGAGGAAAAAGCATAATACTTGGTTAAATTGGAGCAAGCCGAGGTAAGTGACTTGTCTAACCTTATGTGGGAGAAATTCCCCCTAGGATTGATAATTGTAATGTTTGAAAAGTCGTGTACACGAGTTGACGAGTGTGTACACGGGCTAAATGTGAAAGATTATGTTTTAAATTGTTTAGATCACTGTTGCACATTAATTAAATTATTTTATTTTGTTATATTCTTCATTATTGATTTAATATTTATATTTTAAATTTGCTTGAATTTTTCCTGCTAATTATTTTATCTTTTAGTTGGAACTTGATTTCTTTTATTTTGTGTATTATTTGAAGGTTGATTTTCTTTAAATTAAATATTATTAATATGAAGTATTTGACATTTTTAAACTTGATATTGAAGCAACGTATTAAAGATTTTGAAATATTATTTTCCTGAATTATTTATTCCTGAATATTTTTGTAAGATTTTCGTACTCATTGTGATGAAGCATTGAGCTCTTTATTGGGGAAAAATATTATTGTTGAATTATTTTGGCATGAGCCGTGAGCTCTTTATTATGGGAAAAAATATTATTGTTGAATTATTTTGACATGAGCCCTGAGCTCTTTATTGTGGGGAAANTATTTTGACATGAGCCGTGAGCTCTTTATTGTGAAAATATATTATTGTTGAATTATTTTGACATGAGCCGTGAGCTCTTTATTGTGAAAAAAATATTATTGTTGAATTATTTTTACATTAGTCGTGAGCTCTTTATTGTGGAAAAATATTATTCTTGAATTATTTTGACATGAGTCATGAGCTCTTTATTGTGAAAATATATTGTTGTTGAATTACTTTGGCAAGTTAAATTATTTGAACACCTGAGGTGCAAATTGTGATATATTGATACGCATGCGGTAGTATAAGATCTGGGTATTGAAACGTATGCGGTGAGATAAGGGTGGCTTGATACACGTGGCTAGTAGGGGGAACTACTAGAAGTCATGTGGTATGATAATGATGGCTAAAACGCGGAATGCTATTTCGGGATAAATGTTTTCTTTAAAATAAATTGTGAAGGCTCTCGCGGTGAGATAAGAAAATGAGATATTGTGAATTTGTTTATGATTTAGGACTACGAGGCGGTACCTCGGGAGTACCCTTGTTGATATTGATTTATGGCTGCAGTTGCCTTTGATTATTGTTATGATTTTCTTAAAGTTGAAAAGAATTCTGTTTTGTTTCCACGAGGTATTTATTTGTCATTATTTGATGTAATTAAATGTGACATACTACTTGATTTATTTCCATTGTCATTTTAACTTATAATATTGTTTAAACATTTTACCATGCCATTATTTATTCTCCAGTAGGGCCTGACCTGACCTCGTCACTATTCTACCTAGGTTAGGCTTGGCACTTACTGGGTATCGCTGTGGTGTACTCACACTATGCTTCTGAACATCTTTTTGTGCAGATCCAGGTACATCTTATCAGACCACGCATCAGTAAACTAGTTGTACG